TTAGATTGAAGTCCACATTGATAACATCTTGTACAATGTATTGATATTTTGGTTCAAAAGAGTTCTTCACGGATCTGTGGTGATTGGAAGGACGTATTTTTTGTATCTTTAACTGCTTTTTTTGCTTCTACAATGAATTTTTAGATACCATGTTTTTAAGCAAAATGTTACTAAATGGCTATAATCTGTCAACGTCGTAAAAGTAAAAAAAACAATTTGCGGTGTATATGCAGCGTTTCAAGTTGCATTCCATGAGCTAATGAAAAATGGGTAGTTGTATTTAAAAAAAATATGATATGATATGATCTTGCCTCGCTTTTCTGAGACACTCTGTATTATATAAGATATTTTTAAAATGTGATTTACGTGTGGGTTAATACAAAAAGCTTTTTTAAAAAAGGTCTTTATTAGAAGCCGGATACAACTGAACTGGTTTTGCTTTGTTTCGAGTTGCAATTGTATCCTAGGTACATGTTCTTATCTTTGCTTAGTGTTCGATTAATTTATGCTTACAATTTAAGTTGCAAGAATGTAACTTGTGCGCACTTTTTCCGTCAACAACTTTTATATGAGAAACTATGTTTTGAAAGTTCAACACTATCGGAAATAATGGATTCTATCACTAAAAAACCAACCTGTATATACGAAAGGTCAAGCCATTCAAATAGACACACGTTAAATATTATTTGCCATTCAGAAAAAAAGAAAGCCCTGTAATCTTGGGTATTTTATGCTTTATCACGTGGCGTGCTCAATAAGCACAGCATAACTTAAAAATTAAACTGACTTTAGAGTGGAAACTGATCCACCCTGTAGGTATATTGATTTAAATTTTCAAAAGTCTAATATTATGTTAATTTGATGAACGAGCTAGATTTTGGGACTTTGTTGGGCACTCGGTCCGAACCTTAATCTGACATGTTTGGAGACCCCTGCGTTATATCAAGAGCAGTGGCATGCTTTAATAAAATTGCTATAATTTATACTTGCAGTCCTTGGTTCACTGGCGCCGCAGTAGCCAATTACATAGAGTACGCAAAATTGGAAGTCGGTTTCGATTCGAAGTTCTCTACCGCGATGAACGTATTCCGGAACGTCAATATGACAATGACACAATGGTTTCAAGGCGATTCATGGCTTTCTGAGATCTACAAAAAAGGTGCCAAGCAACACTTGGGGGACTTGAAAATATCTCTTGCATGGAGGGACCACAAATTCAGCATCGATTCGTTTGAAGCCATTCATGAAAGCCACACGGCAAGTTCAATTGAACATCAGCATCGTTTTCCGTATAGCTCACATTGAATTTATAGGTGCAATTGTCCAATGAGACGTTATTCGACATGGTCCATAAGGTACGCAGGCAATTCCTGATCGACGAATTCAACCGAACTAAATTGGTTCAGCAGAGATCTCAACCCGCGTTGAGTATCCCGGAGATAAGCGGCTATGTAGAATATGATAGGAAGACCCACACCATAGGTGAGAAACCCACTTGGTTTTTTTCATATTTTACATGACTTGATGTTTCACTGTAGTTCTAGGATATTCGGCGATAGAAGTACAGCGCTATAATCAACTTGAATATCCCTCGCTGTACGGATCGCTGGGCGAATGGATAGCGAGTGCTATGGAACAAGTTTTCGATTTTCCAGAATTGAAAAATGCCACTTGCATCTATCCTCATTCGTTTTGGAAGTACAATTTCCTACTATACTCATCCGAGTACGTCAAATGTCTAAAGAGGCAATATGAAGACTACAATAAGATTTTTGGTATTAGTGTAAGAATTGGCATGATAGACCCCAGTCAGTGTTTCAAATAACACTTAATGAATTTTAGGATGCACCGTTGGATATGATTGACTTAGAGACTAATTTACCAGCGATAATTGGATCAGATATTGCCTTTCGGGCTTACCTTAATTTACCTAAGCAGGATTATAAAAAAGTTTATCGTATAGAAGTTGGTAAGTCATAAAAATGAAAAATCTAATAGTTATTTACGTAACCTGTAGGATATGAATATTATTAAGGCACGCATGAGTTGTGTAATCACATAAGTGCGTTAATAATAAAATATCCTACGTGTATGTACAATATTTTATGTAGAAATATAACAATTATTATTTTAATGATTATTTGAGTAAAAATAATCAGTTATAAAATTAAATACAGGACACCGGCAATGAAAATTTGTAATTGTCATAAGAATCATTGTCAAAGTTGTGTTTTAAAATTACTCATTTTATAATGAGTTCAAGCGATGATCCGCTATGTGATATTGAGAACGAAGCTTTTAATGTTGTTTCAGATCTTGTGCCAGGGAAACCACGGAATAAATACGAAGCTTTTTTGATCGGTACCAAAAATGGTTCTTAACTTCAACTTATTTTAAAATGTGCAATTTTAAGACACAACTTTAGTGCGGTAATAAACATCATTATGACATTTGAAATAGTGCCAAATCATAGTCATTTTATAACAGTTGAAAATTTTTATGCGGTATTAGCTCATTATTTAAATATAATTGGGACCTTGTGTATCTTCGGAGTGAGAAAGTTACATGGGTTGACTTGTCTGTATTTATGCTGATTCTATTGTGCTTGAGCCTGGTTTCCAGCTTTACAAGATGCTTCTGCAACATTGCTGTAGCTGTATTTAGGTCCGTATGAGATGATGTGAAGACCTCATCGTCTGCAAATGTTCATTTTTTTATGCTTTTTGCTGTTGGTAAATCTGCTGTGTGCAATAAGTACCGGGTGGGCCCCAGTACCCTTCCTTGAGGGACTCCAGCATTTATCTGCTGGAGCGGGTTATATAAATTACAATAACAATAAATAAATAACATAAGTTCAAGATAAAGTAATTTAAATGGTACGTGCTTTAAAACGATTCAAATGAATTACTATTATACAAAATTAAGTTTGTATAATAAGTTGTAAGCAAAACTTTTATTTTTTTATTAAATTTTAACAAGAGCTTCGTATTTTCGAAACCTTCTTGTGGGTACTTTGGCTCAAAATATTTATGTTTTAAAAGACAGAATATCCTCACGTCTTTTCCTACAGATTGATAAAAAGTTTTTTTATTTCACAATAAAGGCCAAATTCGTTATCAAAAGATAATCAAGAAATTTCACCCAGAGGCTACTCTACTATAGTCTGTACCATAGAGAAGCCGAAATAACGATTTCTTACTCTATGGTTTGTACGCTATAACTTTGGTCGCACGTCATCAACCGTCGGTCGACCGTTGTTGCCATATCCGCCATAAATTCATTCTAGTAGCACACCATCAAGAGTATATGTATTTTATATTCTTCAGGTTTTTGGAGTTACGCTTTTCACATAAAATAATTTTCGAGTTGTGTAAAAGGTTGTAAATATTGATCGATTGGAAATGGGTTTAGTAATATGCTGCTATTTGCTTTAAAGCAACATTAATATTTTCGGAAGAGTAACTGAAATAGTCAAGTCAGTAATTTGAGAGTCCAGCCCTGTTCACTGTTTTAAGAGAGTGAATAAATGTTTTCAAGCCAAGTATACAATGTTCAACACAATCTGTTTGGGTCCTTGAGCAACATCGCGCTTTGTGTCGAAATTACCGCAACCACCGGCCACAAAATACCCCCCGGCGGGATGTTCTGTGCCACCGGCAACCCGGGGATGCGCAAGGGTGCGAACCCAGCGAAGAGACAAAAGGAGGGTGCTGGTGGCGGTCAAAAAAAGTAGTGGTCAATTAGCCATAAGAAAACATTAACAGAAGATTATCGAGAGTAGTTTTATGTGGAGATATCATAAATATACACAGTCCACTTTCAAAGTGTTTTCTTTGGTTCCGAAATCACAGTAAGAAATAATACCGCGGCTTTGCATCGCACACAATCCTTAAACTTGCACAATGTGCACAGTTTCTATGTTATGCAGGAGACCAGCAGTTTTACTTTTATTCTAATAATTAATATAGATTGGACATGCAAGGGATTATTGCAACTTACTTCCGTAGTCATCTAGCCCCTATAAAGTTCTGGTATTTGTAAGGATTTCAGGTTTCCGCGGATAACGATGATTGAGTAAAAGTAAGATAAAATAACAGAATAAAAAATAAAAGATATAACTTCAACTATATTTTATATTGGTAATTGCATTGGCCAAAACAGTAAACATAAGTAAGCTTTTCAAAATACACGTAATATCTATCACTAAATTTTGGTACGGTAGTTCATTTAGCCATGGTAGTCACCGAGCTGGATTTTTGAAGCAAATATTGCATCTGCACCGTCGATAAAACTATCTTCATTTCCAGCATGAAGTATGATAAAACTATAATAAAGTCAACTATGCGAACATTTTCCCATCCACTTAGTAGATTTCACGCTCTTTTTGTTCTCATCGTGTCGCCCAGGTAGCAGACTGTCGTATTTTTTACGTCGATTTTCACACATATATATGATAGCCACAATAACACAGGTAAAATGTTCCCCTGCCGAACTCCTCTTTTGGCGTTTAATTTGTTAGATGATTCATGAAGTCTTATCGATATTGTCGAAGTCCTATAGATATTTTCAAAAAGGTTTATATAACGTTAATCCACTCTAACATTTCTCAGTTATTTTATTATTGCCCAGATTTCTACTGTGTCGAAGGCTTCACGGAAATCGACAAAAGCCATCCATGGGCTTATTTTATATTCTGTAGCTTTCTCGATCATCTGCCTTACTGTCTGTAGATGTTCTGTCGTACTATAATGGCTTCGGAACCCAGCCTGTTCCCTTGGTTGGTAAGCTTCGAATTTTCGCTCTAATCTGTATATAAATGGTTCACCAGAATTATTCTGGTGAACCATTTATATATCTGCGATAGCAAGCTTTTCGGCCAGTAGTTTTCGCGATCAGTATCAGTCGCGTCACCTTTCTTGTAGAAAGCCATAAACCTATTTAATTTAATTAAATAATGAAAACTAATATGTTGATTATAAAACATTGAAATTACTTTTTGGTCAAATTTTCCGAAATTACTGGGGGGGCTATAAAATACACTTCCAAAGTAGCTGGGTGGTGAAAACTTACGGAACATCTGTAGGGCATCAAAGTGTTTGTATGCTTAACTATAATCGGATGAACGGTTCAAAACTTATGACGAAAACACCAGAAAAACATTTGTGTGTTAAACGCCTTGTATCTCCCAAACGATCAGATTTAAAATTTTTTGATATCATCTAGAGACATTAAGCTGTTCTATCTATTGCCAAAGTTGTCAAGATTGAACGTGAATCACACTGAATATGTTCCTTTAAACATAGTAAAATATGAATCTAAGAGTGATATGTTCTGTTCTAGATGTGAGCTTAACCGGCAGCCAGGTATATTGGCTGACGTCCATGGTGTTCCGATGCGGTCCAAACCGATTGAGTCCAAGTTTCTTAACAATGGCACCGTTCTACACGTCCCAAAGATTTAGCAGTGCTTTCCACTGCAATGAAAGCGATAAAATGGTTTCAGATACAAAGTGCATTTTTGCATTTCCCGAAACGTTTCTTTAAAATTATTTCTTATGTTCGTTTAAAATTGGCTATGTTTGTTTCCAGTGTTAATAATTTTATCGAGAGATACAATTTAATTTAAAAAAAAAACTTTTTTAAAATTAGATCTAAAATACTTTTTAAGTAACGCACCACATACATTGTTGTGTATGGTTTTGCGAATTAGTGAAATATATTATATACTATTCAATTGAATTGGTGTGTTTTATATATATATTGTCAATAACTCTACCATACCCGACAGACTTCTAAAACTCTGCAGAAGCAGCCTTGAAACAGATGAAAAAAATATCTAAATGCCCAGTAGAAGACAGACGTAAGAGACATTGTGCAATGTTGAAGATTGGGGGAAATATAATGGAAGAAGCATTGTGCGCTACCTAACAAATGCGTACATACAGAAAACATTCCAGTCACGGGAAAAATGCTGAGTTATTTTACTCTTCTAAAAGGCTATTACACCAATATAGAAAACTATCGCTCAATTAGTTTGTTATGACACATCCATAAACATTTAACGAGCATTATTACCATTAGGCTGACAGGCAAATTCGACATCTACCAATCAAAAATGAGAACAACAACATATCTTTATTCATCGAAAAGGCTATCGACCATTGCGGTCTTTCCGTCCAATGATAGTAGGTGATGATTAACAAAGAACTCAATGATTAACAAAAAATAAAAATAAAATAAAAATTATCACTATACAATAATTTAACAATTTCATAAGGAAAAACTAAGTATTTGGTCATGTCAGGGTCTGTCCATTATTGTAGTGTTCTAGTAGAGAGTCCGTGGGGTGTAAATAACGTGAGTTTCGTGTGGGCCTTGATAAGAACAGTTGCTTCAGTACTGTGCAGGTGTTTCCCTTGTTATTCTATTTTTGTTGAAGTACCTACTATATGTCTGTCCATTATTTTTGGTAGCCGTCTCAGGTTGTACAGCAGTTGCGTTGGTGGGTTATGCAGTGGTATAGTGGTAAGTGTAATGCCCAGATATTTTACTGTGTTTGTAGTTTGAAAGTGTGCCCGTCTATAGTGATGGTAGGTGAGCGGTCTTTAATGTGGTGGTTAAAAAGTATTAGCTGGTTTTTTGTTGCGTTAGGTCTCCGTTTATAGAACCAGCTGATAGTCGCTAGAGCTTAAAGTTGGTTTGTAGCGTCTTGTGTTGTTCTCGCGTGCGTAACTAAAGTTGAAGTAGGGATGCTGATTGTACGGAAGCAAAGTAGTTGGATTCCGGTTTGTTACAGTTGTAGATGTCGTGACAGTAAATATTGTACAATAAAGGGGAAAGAGGTGACCCCTGTGAAAGGCCCTGTTCAGGAGTAAAGGGAAAGGAATGACAGTTCTGGAGGTCTGTACCTTTTTCAGTTAACGAATTGTAGTAGTTGGTCTGTTTATACTATGTGAGTCTCTTGATCGCCAATGAGAACATTAAGAATTGACTCCGGCTACTCCAAGTTGCTTAAATACATACATATATGCAAATGCTACACTGCATGTTAAAATTAGTAAAAACAAAAGAACTGATAAAGTGAAAATAAATAAGGGTTAACGTCAGCAAGATGGTCCCAAAATTATACACTCTTGCAATGGCAAATGTCTTCAAATCGCTCCATAGGCAGTGGCGTAGCGAGGGGTGGGCAAGGGGGGCATCATGCCCCGGGCGCTACTCACAAAGGGGCGCCAAATGGTCCGCAAAACAAAAAAATGCTCGATAATTTTTATTTCTATTATAAATGATTTCTGGAAAATATATTATAATTTTAGTGCTAGTGTAATATAATAAATGTTAATTCGTAATTGAAAAGAAAGAAAATGAATCACTAATAGTCTCAATCAAACTGTAAGCGAGTTTTACTGAAATACGTGCTAAAGATCAAAGCATCGATCAAAAATACAATTTTAGAGAAATTAAATTCCGATAAAATTTCATTAACAAACAGCAGCTTACAATGTACGATAATGCTGCCGTGATGGCATTTCTGCACTTGCGTTTACAAAGCGTGCACGAATCGCATTTTAACGCGATGAAATGAAACTTTGAGCATTTTTAGGACCACGTATGTTTCATTACATGTGTAAGTTTCAAGATGATGTGCACTGTGGACAAGAAGTTAACACTGTTTGGTAAACATCGTGCAGTTGAGCGAAAACCTTCATTTGCAAGTGCGTTTGACAAGGTGCGCACAAATCTGATTCATTCTTGATTTAAATGAAACTCAGAACTTTTAGATCCAAGAGTCTTACGTCTGCATGGAGTGCAAGTTTCATAATTAGATGCGCTCGGTATGAGAATTTACTAATTTTTAGAGAAGAGAGTGCATTGTAGTTTTTCAAACTCCTACTTGCAAAAATAATTGAAATTGGCCTATTAATTTTAAGTTGAATGTATTGAAATTGAAGTTTCACCAGGAAACGATCCTGCAATTGTCCAAGGCATTTTAAGAGTGTCTTTTTTACCGTTGCATAATTTTATTTATAAGTGTTTTTTCTTTTGTTCTTAAATTTGCTTGTCGTTGGAGATTCGTTGCTTTCAACAAACACAACAGTGTCTTGTTTACTGCCGCAATCCTGTGTTTAGCTAACAAACAAGAAATTTGACTCGAAATTCAGCCGTTTAACATAGCATTATTCTACCGAAATTGGTCGCATCAGGAGACTTTAAAGCTCCAAACGATGGTATGGTTTTCGATGATAACCAGAAAGCGAGAGGTCATTCAATTTTCAACATGTTTGCCAGTAGGCAAATAAATTAATCGTGAAGAAGTGGAAAATAAAATGCCTTAGAACGATATTTACAAGCTAATTTTTTTAAGAAGTCTCGGAGTTCAAGCACCCAATTTGTGAAGTATTAAAATGGGCCCCAATTTAACCGACTTTGTATCTCATACGATTTGACATAACAATTCTCACATCTAGAATTCGCTACATCGTGTATATAATGAAATAATTAATATTTTCTCAAAAAAAAACGTTGCTATTTCTCAAACCGATATCTAATTGTATTCTTTCTGTACACCTCAATTTTTGCGAAAACATATGATTGTACTTCAGTGGCGTAGCGACGGGGAGCAAGTGATCCGCAACGCAAAAAATTGCTGTATATTTTTAATTTTTCTTATAATTGACTTTCGGAAACTATATTTTAAATTTAGTGCTAGTGTAATATAATAAATCTTAATTCGTAAATTAAAAGCCACAAAAGGAACAATAATCGTCTACATCAAACTGTATACGAGTTTTTTTAAATACATGCTAAATATGGAGCCTCGATCAAAAACAATTTTCAAATCAAAAAAATCAAAAAATTTTTGAGAAATTAAATTTCGTTGAAATTTCATTAACAAACTGCAACTCACAATGTTACGATAATGCTGCCGTGATGGCAGGTCACACATCTGGCGTTTAACACAGAATAATCGAAAAAAAACAAAGCATTATTTGGAAGTTTTGCAATTTCATCCCTAATAAGAATAATAGATCACCTAGTTTTGAGCAGCGGTTCTCTACAATGTCCGGTCAGTAGGGCTACCCAGGTCGCAGCAATCACGAATGTGACGTTAATATGACGCCATTTATTGCGTATTTTTGATCTTAGGCGAATATCCGACCGCATATTTCGGACGTCCGAAAGGCGAAACATTCGGACGTCTTTTGAACGTCAATTTGACCATCCGTTTAGTTAGTCAGTTATGACGTCGAGTCGAAACGGGCAGCCACAGAACACGTCTAAGTGTCATTCGTGCAAGCAACTTTCTGTATTTTCTTCACTGGGTATTTTGTACAATCATTTAGTGAATATTAGTAGTGAGTTTATTATGTTTCTAGTTTGTAGGTTAACTTGACACAATTATATGTTAGTAACAAGTTTTTTATTCCGTTTATCTTCATTGCATGTATTAAGCCCCCAAATCGGCATTCCTACAATTCACCATTTTTGGGACAAATAAAAACTGTGTATTAGAGCATCTGATCCTATATAAACATTCATCTTGGCCCCTAATTTACGCTTCTGCATTCGTCATTTAGGCATCTTTGTGGCTGGTCATTTAGAGGTCTTAATAACCCGTCACTTAGACGTCACAAAGCTGTGACTTACTTACGTCAGTTGGACGTCTAACGTATTGGTCCATGGACCAAAATAACGCCAAAAAAAATGCCGTCATTTTTCCAACTTATTGCAATTTACGGCTTTGAAATTGTGTTGATCGGAAGAATAATTTATTTTCAACTTCTTATCGGGAACTGAAGAACTCGTGTTAGCTAAAATACTGCGTTGGTGCCGACTAGACAAATCTATAAAATCACATGGTAATTTTTGGTATCTGGCCAAACAGTAGAAAATAGATAAAAACGTATTCAGGGTGATTCAAAATTGGCGTCAAGGGTGATAGAGGCTCCCTTGGGGAGTACGAGAAAAATATTGAAATTTTTTTTTTCGGAAAAACTGTGACTTACTTTGAATTTCATTTCACGAATTTGCGGATATGCGATTAGTTCAGGGAAAATGCTACAGTAACATAGTAGAAGCTGAAAGAACTCACACCAACAAAGGGCGAGGAGAGTGGTTCCAGGAAGATAGTGGACGGCAATCCATTTTCGGGTTCCAGGTACACATGAACAAGTATTGGACATAATCGAATCAGGGCCTTCCAGGGGTATTCAGAGCACAATAACTGACACTTTCCCAAGCACCAAATAAATACCGAAGAAGGGCTACGTTCCTACCACATTTGTACGATACACACAATATTAACCATTTAAATGTTTGGTGTTGTATGGTTGATTTTTAAACACCGATATTCGAGGTTATGAAAACAGGTTGACATTTCGCAAACAAATCTTGTTGAATTTACCGTTTATCCTTGTCTATCTTATTGTCAGTCTGTATAATTCCATGGTTACCGGAGTTTTAAATAATTACGAAGCCACAGGTATTTGCGCAATGTCAATTAGGCAGATTACCTTGAAAAACATTGCTGCCGTGTTTCTGATATAGTTTTTTGCAAATTTCTCAGTTTTTAATAACAATTAATTTACTTAACTAGTTTTTCTGTACTCCTATAACAGCGCTAGACAACACCTCCAGAGGAATGACGCCAATTTTAATCACCCTGTATAGCAGAACGAAATATGGCCAACACGAAAGTGATATTTTAACACCCAAAAAAGTTTTGCTGTTTTAAATGGCTCGATACTATTGCAGCCAGCGTCCTCTAAGGTAATTCAAAATTTTGTTTTGTCGAACTGAAAAACTCACAAACGCAATTCTTATTGCCATAGTAAAATTGGTTAAGAATCTATTGAAAATAAAGAAAAATTTATTTTCACTGAGAGCCTGTATCGCGGAATCTATTAAGCCTGTGCCTTTTTTAACTCAGAAAATATAGAATCATTTTGAAATTCACAATTCGCTGATTTTCTACTGTAGCTCTTAAGATCGGAAAAGCTGTCAAATTTTATTTTACCATTTAACTTTGTTGATTTTGAAGGCTACAAAATAAGTTTAAAGTAAGTTTACAATATTATCAAGTATTATTTACCTTTGCACTCAGCATATGTAGTTGCTTAGAATTCGGAAAGAAATGCGGAATGTTACAAGAAAAACTCGGTATATATGATATGACCTTTATCACGGAGGCAATTCAGTCAGTAATATTCAGAGGTAACGTGGTGTGAACATGGAGAGACGCAATATACGACGAAATCCGCGAAACAGAAGAGAGCGTCATCCTCCGGTTGATCGGGGGGCAGATAGAATGAGACAACAACGTCAACATCCGAATCTTCCTGACGTACTTGAGGGAGCAGCAGCATTACCACTTCACGCCGATCAAGTCCAAGCGCCGCTTCCTGAACATCCTTTAGCTCATCTTGATCTTCTACAAGGCCCGTTGGAACAGGCGCTGCTCCGTCAGAATAACGAACAGTTAGAGCATGACAGACAAAGGGTTCTAGCACAGTTCAGGCCCGCTGCAGTTCAGCACCAACAGGTCCAAGGAATACAGATCCGTCCACAGGGAGCGATATTGAACCTCGTTGCGGGTGGACTTATAGCAGGTGAGCCATCAGAATAATGATATATTCGATCATGCATTTTTTTCTTCGCTCGTTAAATTAAATGTTTTTAATACTGTACGAAATAAAGAAGGCCACTGCCAAACACTGTCTAGGGCTCAACAGTCTTTCTGCCATCTTAAGTTTGACCTAAAATGCATTTGACACTTGAACTACTTTTTTAATAGCACATAATATTACGGATATTCCCCATAAAAGTGTCGAAAATGGAACACCCTGTGCAGGGTTTGCTAGATACAATGTGGTCTTTTTGTGTGAAAATTAATATTGTACAATGGAAATAGAAAGCGCATTTAGCTCTCTTAAGAGATTGAATAGATAATCAACAATCTTTTATTGTAAAAATGATTTTATATTTTCCTAGTTAAAAATGATGCAGAAAAATGTTATATTTAAATTTTTTACTTAATAGTTATAAAAAAATCTGTGTTTTTTAATAAGGTTATGGGGACAGATACAAAAGTTATCGAATCTAAGCTATTTGTTAAATTGGAACTTGGAACACTTTAACACAGCTTTAACCGAAAGTATAGATTTTAGAAAAATGTTTGCAAAAATATAATATCATGGTTTATATTGATTCTCTCAGAAAATATAAGGTAATTTAAAAATTGACAATTTTGTTACTTTTTCCCGTTGCTTTAATTTAAGAGAGCAGAAATTTTTATTTTACCATTTTACGCTTGACCCTAAACAACACGTGACTATTTCACGGAGATTCCCTACGAAAATTTGAAAAATAAAAAAAATATAAGAAACATCTTTTTGTTTCTTCTCAGAAAATATTTACAGTTGTAATTTCTCATAACATGCATACTTTTATGCAGCTGATTTAGGACAATGTCACCCAGTTTCCCTACTGCCATACAAAATTGCTTCTTTTTCGTAAATATACAAAATAATTAAACATATAATTCGATAATATTTTACGACAAAAAATAATGTAGATATTTTAGATAAATTATACCCGCATATGAGATATAAGGTGTCCAACATTGGTTTCTTGCAGGCGGTCTCGTTGGGTTCCATGGAGACAGACCTGAGGTTCTACAGGCTCAGCTACCTGTAGCCGAGCACAAACAGGGCCAAAGAAGTCCGCAGGGACTGATACCCAATATTGATAGGCGTGAAAATGTAGCAGGTGAGCCATCAGAAGAGCCATATATTCGACATGTATTTTTTCTTCGCTCGTTAAATTAAATGTTTTTAATACTATACGAAATAAACGGAAGCCACTGCGAAATACTGTTTAGTGCTCAACAGTCTTTCTGCCATTTTAAGTTTGACCTAAAAATGCATTTAACACTTGAACTACTTTTTTGATAGCACGTAAAATTACGAAGATCCCTATAAAAGTGTCGAAAATGGAACACCCTGTGTAGGGTTTGCTAGATATAATGTTGTCTTCTTGGGTGCAAATTAATATTGTACAATCAAAATAGAAAACGAATTTAGCTCTCTTAAGAGATTGAATAGATAGAAATTCAACAATCTCTTACTGACAAATTATTTCATATTTTCCTAGTGAAAAATGATGCAAAAAAATGTTATATTTAAATGTTTTGATCCAATAGTTACTAAAAAATCTGCGCCTTATAATAAGCTTAGGGTGATAAATACAAAAGTGATCGAATCTAAGCTATTTGCTAAGATGGAACACTTTGGAAGTTTTAACCTAAAATATAGATTTTTGAAATTTCTTTTCAAAAATATAATACACCATGGCTTACATTGATTTTCTCAGAAAATATAAGGTAATTTAAAAATTGACAATTCTGTTACTTTTTCCCGTTGCTCTAAATTAAGAGAGCAGAACTTTTTATTTTACTATTTTACGCTTGACCCTAAACAACACGTGATTATTTCACCGATGTACCCTACGAAAATTTCGAAAATGAAAAAATATAGAAACATGTTTTTGTTTCTTCTCAGAAAATATTTACAGTTGTAATTTCTCATAGCATGCATAATTTTATGCAGCTGATTCAGGACAATGACACCCATATTTCCTTCTGCCATATAAAATTGCTTCTTTTTCGTACATATAATAATGTAAATATTTTATATAAATTATACCCGCAAATGAGATATAAGGTGTCCGACGTTTGTTTCTTGCAGGCAGTGTCGCTGGGTTACAACGAAATAGTCCTGAGGCTTTACAGGCTCAGCCCCCTGTAGCTGAGCACAAACAGGGCCAAAGAAGTCCGCACGGAGCGATACCCAATATTGACAGGCGTGAAAATATAGCAGGTGAGCCATCAGACGAGCCATATATTCGACCATTTATTTTTTTCTTCGCTCGTTAAATTAAATGTTTTTAATACTGTATGAAATAAACGGAGGCCACTGCCAAATCCTGTTTAGGGCTCAACAGTCTTTCTGCCATTTTAAGTTTGACCTAAAAATGCATTTAACACTTGAACTACTTTTTTGATGGCACATACAATTACGGAGATGCTCTATAAAAGTGTGGAAAATGCGACACCCTGTACAGGGTTTGCTAGATATACTGTTGTCTTCTTGATAGAAAATTAATAATGTACGATCGAAATAGAAAACGAATTTAGCTCTCTTAAGAGATTGAATATTAATTCTACAATCTCTTACTGTAAAAATGACTTCATATTTTCCTAGTTAAAAATGATACAGAAAAATGTTATATTAAACTGTTTTTATCTAATGGTTATTAAAAAATCTGCGTTTTATAATAAGCTTACGGTGACTGATACAAAAGTTTTCGAATCTAAGCTATTTGTTAAATTGGAACTTGAAACATTTTGTCAGTTTTAAGCGGAAATGTAGATTTTTTAAATTTCTTTTCAAAAATATAATACACYATRGCTTACATTGCTTTTTTCAGAAAATATAAGGTAATTTAGAAATTGACAATTTTGTTACTTTTTCCCGTTGCTCTAAATTAATAGAGCAGACWTTTTTATTTTACCRTTTWTGCTGGACCCTCAAGAAGCACGTGATTAYTTAATKGWTRGAAACATGTTTTYGTWTCTTCWCAGAWAATATTTACAKTTGTARTTTCTCATAACATGCATAATTTTATGCAGCTGATTTAGAACAATGACACYCATTTTCTCTTCTGCCATATAAAATTGCTTCTTTTTCGTCCATATAAATAATGTAAATATTTTATAATTATGTAAATAATATAATATAGTATAATTGTATAATTATACCCGCAAATGAGATATAAGGTGTAAACGTTTGTTTCTTGCAGGCAGTGTCGCTGGGATACCGCGAAACAGACCGGAGGCTTTACAGGCTCAGCCCCCTGTAGCCGAGCACAAACAGGGCCAAAGAAGTCCGCACGGAGCGATACCCAATATTGACAGGCGTGAAAATATAGCAGGTGAGCCATCAGAACAACCATATATTCGTCCATGTATTTTTTTCTTTGCTCGTTAAGTTAAATGTATTTAATACTGTACGAAATAAACGGAGGCCACTGCCAAATACTGTTTAGGGCTCAACAGTCTTTCTACGATTTTAAGTTTGACCTAAAAATGCATTTAACACTTGAACTACTTTTTTGATAGCACATAAAATTACGGAGATGCCCTATAAAAGTGTCGAAAATGGAACACCCGGTACAGGGTTTGCTAGATATAATGTGGTCTTCTTGGGAGGAAATTAATATTGTACGATCAAAATAGAAAACGAACTTAGCTCTTTTAAGAGATTGAATAGCAATAATCTCTGACTGTAAAATGACTTCATATTTTCCTAGTTAAAAATGATGCAGAAAAATGTTATATTTAATTGTTTTGATCTAATAGTTATTAAAAAATCTGCGCCTTATAATAAGCTTACGGTGACAGATACAAAAGTTTTCGAATCTAAGCTATTTGTTAAGTTGGAACATTTTGTAAGTTTTAACCGAAAATATAGATTTTTGAAATTTTTTTCAAAAATATAATACACCGTGGCTTACATTGCTTTTCTCAGAAAATATAAGGTGTCGGTTTCCGTTAAAGTGGACTGTATTTATATAATTTTTCTTTTTGTGCGCGATCCCGATCTGAAACGGCACTCCCAATACCGACTTAACCATATCGTTGCACCCAACCGACGAATGAAAACCCGATTATCGGCAAATTACAAGATATATATTTCTGAACGTTTTTTCTTGCAGGGTCTGTTTTTTACAATCACCTTAGTTACTAAAGACAAAACAACTTAAAACAAAATTATCATATCGCCTTCTGGACTAACTTAGGTGGTTGGCTCGATAGAGACAAATAGCTGATACTTACTCATTTCCCAACATTCTCCCCCCCTTTACTGATCTTGTAAATATTCCATTTTTTGTTTTAATTTTGATAATTCCTACTGTCAATGGCTCACCTATCAAAAAGTGCGTTGGTGTTAAGCAATTCAGATCTGAAGGATCCGATGAAATTGGACTCAAAGGCCTTGAATTTAAAATGGCTTCAATTTGTGCCAACACAGTAGTTAATTCTTCAGACGTCAAAGTTAGATTACCAACTATTCTTTTCAAATGAAACTTTGTGGACTTTATCCCTGCTTCCCATAAACCACCCCAATGAGGACTAACTGGTGGTATGAAATACCACCCAATTTTTCCATTGACCAATTCCTCATGAATTTCTGAAAATTTTTTTTGATTTTTGAAAAATAAATAAAAGTTTTTAAGTGCATTATTGGCACCCTGCAAATTAGTGGCATTATGACTATAAATAGTATCCGCTACGTGCAATAAACCTTTTAAGCGTGAGAATAAATGCTTCGGTATTTAAGCTACTCACTACCTCAATGTGGATTGCTTTAGTAACCATGCAAATAAATAATGCAATGTGGGTTTTGCTGGTAACTATTCCACGTAATCTTGATTGTTTAATTGGCAACGCCCCCCCAAAATCAGTGCCCACTTTTTTAAATGGATGAGCTATCGATACCCTGTCTGGTGGCAGTGCACCCATAAATTGAGCGGCCCCTTTCACCTTTACTCTGTGACAGATCACCCATTCAGTCACAACTGATTTGACTCTCCCCAATCCATGGATTATCCAATACCTTAATCTTTAATTTGCTAACACTGTTTGAGGACCAGCATGAAAAAGTTTGAGATGTGCGAACCCAATCAATAACTTGATTGCATAATGATGTGCTGGTAAAATGATAGGAAACTTCTGATCTAATTCTACCTTTGCGTTAGCTAACCTACCATTAACCCGTACAATTCCTTTTTCATCAAGAAATGGATTCAAACATGCTATGTGACTTTCTTTGAAACTGGCCTGATAATTAACAGATGATTGCAGTTGTTTTATTTCCTTTTCAAAGCTTTCCAATTGAATTTGTTTCATAATGGTGTGATGAGCTTGTTGTAAATTGTAAATCGTCTCCGAACTTCTCTTCAAAAATGTATGCCAATATGCCACTGCTCGATGCAGTCTCAAAAAATTTGAAAAATTATTCCACTTAATAACATTTTCTACAACTATTTGAGTCATTGCCACCCTTTCCCTTTGCTCCGGAATAACTGTAACATCTGGATGGCCATTGTTAGAAAAATCACTATTAAACTCCAGAAGGTAATTAGCCCCGTTCCACCATAAATGTTTATCCATTATCTCGGAAACAGATATACCTCTAGATATACAATCCGCCGGGTTTTCCTTAAACGCAACATGATTCCAAGTGAAAGGTGAAGTAAGCTCCTGCATTTCTGCAACCCTGTTTGCCACAAAAGTAGTCCACCTGTTTGGATTACCTCTGAGCCAACAAAGAACAATCTGTTCACAAAAACACCTTGCCATTTTTAATTTAAGAGCTGGAACAACACGATGAACCAACCTAGAGAGAAGCAAAGCTCCACATAGCTCAAGTCTTGGCAAACTCACTCAGTTTTAATGGGAGCTATTCGGAACTTTGAACGAAGAAAATTTGAAGGCACTGATTTGTCTCCATAAATCTGATATAGATACATGCCCCATATGCTACCATAGGTGCATCCGAGAATCCGTGAATTTGAATCTCGATGATGTCCTTAAACTCAAAAACTCATCTTGATAGTTTCAAATTGCTTAAATCACGAAAGTTATTTTAAAAGGTTTTCCCATTTTCCCTAAGATCTGTTGGAAGTTTATCATCCCAAAGAAGTTTGCGCACCCAAATTCGCTGCATTAATAATTTTGCACACACTACTACAAGACACATAGCCCAATGGATCAAACATTTGAGAAATCTTAGACAAAACAAATCGCTTAGTTATCTTCTCAAAAGTTATTTTAATATGTCGGATACGAATTTTAAATTTATCCTGACCTGGTTGCCACACAATACCCAACACTTTTCCATCCTCCGAGTTGAAATTAAATTCTTTGCCATAATGTTCACCCTGGCCTGCATCTAAAATAGATAAATCATTTGACAACCACTTATGCAACGAAAATCCTCCTAACCGCAACATTGCAGTCAATTGAGTTTTCAACTCTTTAATCATATTCTTTGAATTTGCACCACATAGTATATCATCGACATAACAATTATTTAAAATAGCGTTTGCTGCTAGTGGATAATCGTAGTAGACATCGAGCAGCCAAAAATGGTGCAGCCTTAGTCCCATATGTAATTGTTTAAAGTTCAATCACTTTGATTGGATCATGCGAATTTTTCCGCAATAAAATATTTTGAAGAAATAATTTCCTTGGATTAATTTTAGCCATCCTAATCTCAGCAATATGTCGAATTCCGACTGAACAGTAAAAGCTTTTAACATAATACCGTTTAAAGATAATCCAGTTAAAGTTTTACTTGAAGCGTCACATACAACGCGCAGTTGTATAAACTACATCCTTTTTAATTACACAATGATGCGCCAAGAATATCCTTTTTTGAATTTCCTCCGAATTACACTCAACATATTTTCCATGATTAAGCTCAATGTGCTCTTCAATGAAGCTTTTGTAGTCGCTAAATAATGCAGGATTCCTAATGAATTTATTTTCTAGAAACTGAAACCTTCTATAAGCAGAATGAAAACAATCGCCCAATTGAAGAAAATCCTTATTGCTCCTCATTGAGAGATCTACCTGAAAACTTCCATTCTCTAACCTTGTACATGATTGCAAAAACAAATTCTCACATAATTTTTCTTCTCTTGAGAAGAAAGTTTTATTCTGGAGTTCTTCCATCTGCCAAAATTTCGGCATTAGTTCATCAATGTCGACTAATTCATGATCGCTAACTGCGTCTGAAACTGAGCAACATACAAGACGTAACTGATCGTTCTCATGGTGTATAATTGGAGCTGCTCCAAAAATCAACCAGCCAAGTTCCGAATTTTAAAGAATTGGAAGTCTTGAACGTAATTTTACAACTTGCGGAAGAATTATTCGCGCATACAAATCAGCAGATATCAACATGTCAATATGACCTGGCCTATTATAAAACGGATCTGCTATTTTCATCTCTTTGTCGATTTTTACCTTCCTGAGATCTACCCAGACATGAGGAAGAGTAAATGTAATTTTATCCAACACAGCAAATTGCGTTTTTATTGTATAATTGTTAACCTTGGATTCTAAAGTCAAGTTAACCATTGTCTCAACATCAGTTGTTTTATTACTGATGCCCCCAATTTTGACAAACGTTTTACGAATTTCACACCTGCCCAGTTCGTCAATTAGTTCTTTTGTAATGAAATTTGTTTGTGATCCAGTCTAAAAGCGCTCTCGCTTTAATATGCTGACCGTTTTCCAGACAAATTTTAATTATTGCTGTAGCCAAAAGTACCTGCGTATCCAATTGTTCATAACATACATGCCTTAGGTATTTGATTTTCCCCCCTTGAAATACCTAAGTTTCTCGCGTGTGAAATACCTATAAATTCGTTCCCACTTGTACCCATAAGTGTATTTCCTTGCCCTTGAATTGATGCCGACAAATCTGCATTATCACAATTGTTGGTTGACCCTTTATTTCGAGAAGTATCCCTGTCAGCATTGCTCAACTGATCATCATGTAAAAGTGCATGGTGTCTTCTTTTACACGTTATGCATCCCTGTTTTATTTGACATTCTGTCACCCTATGCGATTTTCTCAAACAGTTATAACATAATCGATTATTTTGAATGAAATGTCGTTTTTCGCTCAATGATAGTTATTTATTATTCCCATTACAAAAGTTATAATTTACTTTTTGCCCTGCAAATGAATGATTTTGTTTTTGAGCAAAAAATGATTTCCTCTCATTTTTCTCCCCAGACATATTTTTATTCCCGTGATTGTTAAATCTCTTTGAATTATCGACTTCTATATTTTCTAAAGCAGTGCATCTTTTTTCTAGAAAAGTCAGAAATGCATCAAGAGTAGGCAATAGTGCTTGTTTATCTGAAGATATCAGCCCTATATTTTTTTCCAACTCGTAGGCCCTATGTGTTTGATAATCAAATTTTTGCGTAAAAGGATAAACTAATATGAGGTACCATTCCTTGACAGGCAATTTTAATGCTACCAATAATGAATTAACGTGCTGCTTTATGTGTGTTAAAAAACCTCTTAGTTGTTTGCCTGTACCTCTTGTAATATAAGGTGTATCTAGCATACCTTTTAAATGTGGGTTAATGACCACTAATTTATTTTCAAAACCTATTTTTCAATATTTCCAGCGCTTGTTTATAATTTTCATTGGTTAGCGGCAAGTTATTAATTAAATGTAAAGCTTCACCCGACAAAGCACCCTTTAAATAGAGAAACTTTTGAACATCATTCAAGAATGAATGGCTACCAATTATTGCTGAAAACAAGTCTATAAAAGTCTGCCAATCTTCGACTTTACCGGAAAACGTGGGAATATTTATACTTAGTAACCTGGTATTACTCAGCGGCATTGCCGAAGCTGACTCCAAATGAGTAGAAACATGTGGAAATTCAAATATAGATTGACTCATTTGCCTAATTTTCGCTTTTAGTTTAGACAATAAAGACAAATATTTAGTCTCGACGTCATCCCTACCTGTCTCGTCGCTCTGATCCATTAATTCTATATTATTCTGAATCTTGCAATAATTTTTGTAAGCTTTTTCTAAAAATACTTCCCTAGTTACGTATTCGCTAACATTAATGTTTGATACAGTGTCGTTATTCGTAACAAACGTTTTTATCCTCGTTATCGAGCTTTTAACAATCGATCTCTGTTTCTTAATATTATATCATAAGACCTTAACAGAATTTTCTCACAACTATACAAATAAGATACTTTAATCTACTTTTTATAGTTCACGGAATGAAAATAATTAATGACCCCAATTACTGTCACTGTTTCCTTCTCAAATTGCGTCAATGAATTTCACCAACAAATGTATCTGGTTTATATCCAATATATTGAACGATTGAACGATCTGATCTTAGACTTCGTCGATCTGCTTTCCAACACGGTCGTTCAGCAACCCATATCCATTATTCCCAAGTTCCATACACCATATCGCTGGATATCCGGCTCGTAGGACCAATGTCGGTTTCCGTTAAAGTGGACTTTATTTATGTAATTTTTCTTTTTGTGCGTGATCCCGATTTGAAACGGCACTCCCAATACCGACTTAAGCATATGATTGCACCCAACCGACGAATGAAAACCCGATTATCGGCAAATTMYMWCAWAWAWATTTCTGAAMGTTTTTTCTTGCACCGTCTGTTCTTTACAATTACCTTAGTTACTAAAAACAAAACAACTTAAAACAAAATTCTTATATTTTCTCTCCCTCTAGACCAACTTAAGTGGTTGGGGCGATAGAGACAAATAGCTTATACTTACTCATTTCCCAACATAAGGTAATTTAGAAATTGACAATTTTCTTACTTTTTCCCGTTGCTTTAACTTAAGAGAACAGAATTTTTTATTTTACCATTTTACGCTTGACCCCCAAGAAGCACGTGATTATTTAAGGGATATACCCTACGACAATTTCGAAAATAAAAAATATAGAAACATGTTTTTGTTTCTTCTCAGATAATATTTACAGTTGTAGTTTCTCATAACATGCATTTTATGCAGCTGATTTAGGACAATGACACCCATTTTCTCTTCTGCCATATAAAATTGCTTCTTTTTCGTCCACATAAATAATGTAAATATTTTATATAAATTATACCCGCAAATGAGATATAAGGTGTCCAACGTTTGTTTCTTGCAGGGAGTGTCGCTGGGATACAGCGAAGCAGACCTGAGGCTTTACAGGCTCAGGCCTCTGTAGCCGAGCACAAGCAGGGCCAAAGAAGTCCGCACGGAGCGATACCCAATATTGACAGACGTGAAAATATAGCAGGTAAGCCATCAGAAGAGCCATATATTCAACCATGTACTTGTTTGTTTCTTCGCTCGTTAAATTAAATATTTTTAATACTATACGAAATAAACGGAGCTACTGGGAAATACTGTTTAAAGCTCAACAGTCTTTCTGCCATTTTAAGTTTGATCTAAAAATGCATTTAACACTTGAACTACTTTTTTGATAGCACATAAAATTACGGAGATCCCTATTAAAGTGTCGAAAATGGGACACCCTGTACAGGGTTTGCGAGATATAATGTGGTCTTCTTGGCTAATAGAAAACGAATTTAGCTCTCTTAAGAGATTGAATAGCACAATTCAACATTCTCTTACTGTAAAAATGACTATATTTTCCTACTTACTAATAATGATACAGAAAAATGTTATATTAAAATGTTTCTATCTAATGGTTATCAAGAAATATGCGTTTTATAATAAGCTTACGGTGACAGATACAAAACTTATCGAATCTAAGTTATTTGTTAAGATGGAACACTTTGTAACTTTTAACCGAAAATATAGATTTCATAAATTTATTTTCAAAAATATAATACACCATGGCTTACATTGCTTTTCTCAGAAAATATAAGGTAATTTAAAAATTGACAATTTTGTTAGTTTTTCCATTTGCTCTAAATTAAGAGAGCAGAAATTTTCATTTTACCATTTTACGCTTGACCCTAAAAAAACCCGTGATTATTTCACGGATATATCCTACGAAAATTTCGAAAATAAAAAAATATAAGAAACATGTTTTTGTTTCTTCTCAGAAAATATTTACAGTTGTAATTTCTCATAACATGCATAATTTTATGCAGCTGATTTAGGACAATGACACCCGGTTTTCCTCCTGCCACATAAAATTGCTTCTTTTTCGAAAATATACGAAATAATTCAACAGATAATTTGACAATATTTTACGACTAAAAATAATGTAAATATTTTATATAAATTAGACCCGCAAATGAGATATAAGGTGTCCAACGTTTGTTTCTTGCAGGGAGTGTCGCTGGGATAGAGCAAAACAGACCTGAGGCTTTACAGTTTCACCCACCTGTAGCCGAGCACAAACAGGGCCAAAGAAGTCCGCACGGAGCGATACTCAATATTGACAGGCGTGAAAATATAGCAGGTGAGCCATCAGAAGAACCATATATTCGACCATGTATTTTTTTCTTCGCTGGTTAAATTAAATGTATTTAATACTGTACGAAATAAACGGAGGCCACTGCCAAATACTGTTTAGGGCTCAACAGTCTTTCTACGATTTTAAGTTTGACCTAAAAATACATTTAACACTTCAACTACTTTTTTGATAGCACATACAATTACTGAGATGCCTTATAAAAGTGTCGAAAATGGGACACCCTGTACAGGGTTTGCTAGATATAATGTGGCCTTCTGAGGTGGAAATTAATATTGTACGATCACAATAGAAAACGAATTTAGATCTCTTAAGATATTAAATAGCAATAATTTCTTACTATAAAAATGACCTTATACTTTCCTAGTTAAAAATGATGCAGAAAAATGTTATATTTAAAGCTTATTAAAAAATCTCCGTTTAATAATAAGCTTACGGTGACAGATTCAAAAGTTATCGAATCTAAGCTATTGGTTAAATTATAACTTGGAACACTTTGGAAGTTTTAACCGAAAATATAGATTTTTGGAATTTATTTTCAAAAATTTAGTACACCATGGCTTACATTGCTTTTCTCAGAAAAAATGAAGTACTTTAAAGATTGACAATTTTCTTACTTTTTCCCGCTGCTCTAACTTAAGAGAGCAGAATTTTTTATTTTACCATTTTACGCTTGACTCCCAAGAAGCACGTGATTATTTAATGGATATACCCTACGACAATTTTGAATATGAAAAATATAGAAACATGTTTTTGTTTCTTCTCAGATAATATTTACAGTGGCAATTTCTATTAACATGCATAATTTTATTCAGCTGATTTAGGACAATGACACCCATTTTTCCTTCTGCCATATAAAATTGCTTCTTTTTCGTACATATAACTAATGTAAATATTTTATATAAATTAGACCCGCAAATAGATATAAGGTGTCCAACGTTTGTTTCTTGCAGGGAATGTCGCTGGGATACAGCGAAACAGACCTGAGGCTTTACAGTTTCAGCCACCTGTAGCCGAGCACAAACAGGGCCAAAGAAGTCCGCACGGAGCGATAAGCAATATTGACAGGCGTGAAAATATAGCAGGTGAGCCATCAAAAGAACCATATATTCGACTATGTATTTTTTTCTTCGCTCGTTAAATTAAATGTTGTTAATACTATACGAAATAAACGGAGGCCACTGCGAAATACTGTTTAGGGCTCAACAGTTTTTCTGCCATTTTAAATTTAACATAAAAATGCATTTAACTCTTGAACTAATTTTTTGATAGCACATACAATTACGGAGATGCCCTATAAAAGTGTCGAAAATGCGATACCCTGTACAGGGTTTGCTAGATATAATGTGGTCTTCTTGAGTAAAAATTAAGATTGTACGATCGAAATAGAAAACGAATTTAGCTCCCTTAAGAGATTGAATAGTAATTCATCAATCTCTTACTGTAAAAATGACTTCATATTTTCCTAGTTAAAAATGATACAGAAAAATGTTATATTAAACTGTTTTTATCTAATGATTATTAAAAATTCTGCGTTTTATAATAAGCTTACGGTGACTGATAGAAAAGTTTTCGAATCTAAGCTATTTGTTAAATTGGAACTTAGAACACTTTGTCAGTTTTAAGCGAAAATATAGATTTTTGAAATTTCCTTTTAAAAATATAATACACCATGGCTTACATTGCCTTTCTCAGAAAATATAAGGTAATTTAGAAATTGACAATTTTGTTACTTGTTCCCGTTGCTCTAAATTAAGAGAGCAGAAATTTTTATTTTACCATTTTACGCTTGACCTTCAAGAAGCACGTGAGTATTTAATGGATATACCCTACGACAATTTCGAAAATTAAAAATATAGAAACATGTTTTTGTTTCTTCTCAGATAATATTTACAGTTGTAGTTTCTCATAACATGCATACTTTTATGCAGCTGGTTTAGGACAATGACACCCATTTTCTCTTCTGCCATATAAAATTGCTTCTTTTTCGTCCACATAAATAATGTAAATATTTTATATAAATTATACCCGCAAATGAGATATAAGGTGTCCAACGTTTGTTTCTTGCAGGGAGTGTCGCTGGGATACAGCGAAGCAGACCTGAGGCTTTACATGCTCAGCCCTCTGTAGCCGAGCACAAACAGGGCCAAAGAAGTCCGCACGGAGCGATACCCAATATTGACAGGCGTGAAAATATAGCAGGTGAGCCATCGGAAGAGCCATATATTCAACCATGTACTTGTTTCTTCGCTCGTTAAATTAAATATTTTTAATACTATACGAAATAAACGGAGCTACTGGGAAATACTGTTCAGAGCTCAACAGTCTTTCTTCCATTTTAAGTTTGACTTAAAAATGCATTTAACACTTGAACTACTTTTTTGATAGCACATGAAATTACGGAGATCCCTATTAAAGTGTCGAAAATGGGACACCCTGTACAGGGTTTGCGAGATATAATGTGGTCTTCTTGGCTTATAGAAAACGAATTTAGCTCTCTTAAGAGATTGAATAGCACAATTCAACAATCTCTTACTGTATAAATGAATATATTTTCCTACTTAATAATGATACAGAAAAATGTTATATTAAAATGTTCTTATCTAATGGTTATCAAGAAATCTGCGTTTTATAATAAGCTTACAGATACAAAACTTATCGAATCTAAGTTATTTGTTAAGATGGAACACTTTGTAACTTTTAACCGAAAATATAGATTTCATAAATTTATTTTCAAAAATATAATACACCATGGCTTACATTGCTTTTCTCAGAAAATATAAGGTAATTTAAAAATTGACAATTTTGTTAGTTTTTCCATTTGCTCTAAATTAAGAGAGCAGAAATTTTCATTTTACCATTTTACGCTTGACCCTAAAAAAACCCGTGATTATTTCACGGATATATCCTACGAAAATTTCGAAAATAAAAAAATATAAGAAACATGTTTTTGTTTCTTCTCAGAAAATATTTACAGTTGTAATTTCTCATAACATGCATAATTTTATGCAGCTGATTTAGGACAATGACACCCGGTTTTCCTCCTGCCACATAAAATTGCTTCTTTTTCGAAAATATACGAAATAATTCAACAGATAATTTGACAATATTTTACGACTAAAAATAATGTAAATATTTTATATAAATTAGACCCGCAAATGAGATATAAGGTGTCCAACGTTTGTTTCTTGCAGGGAGTGTCGCTGGGATAGAGCAAAACAGACCTGAGGCTTTACAGTTTCACCCACCTGTAGCCGAGCACAAACAGGGCCAAAGAAGTCCGCACGGAGCGATACTCAMTATTRACAGGCGTGAAAATATAGCAGGTGAGCCATCAGAAGAACCATATATTCGACCATGTATTTTTTTCTTCGCTGGTTAAATTAAATGTATTTAATACTGTACGAAATAAACGGAGGCCACTGCCAAATACTGTTTAGGGCTCAACAGTCTTTCTACGATTTTAAGTTTGACCTAAAAATACATTTAACACTTCAACTACTTTCTTGATAGCACATACAATTACTATCTCAGTATTATTATTATACTTTAATTATACCCGCATATGAGATATAAGGTGTCCAACATTTGTTTCTTGCAGGCGGTCTCGTTGGGTTCCATGGAGACAGACCTGAGGTTCTACAGGCTCAGCTACCTGTAGCCGAGCACAAACAGGGCCAAAGAAGTCCGCAGGGACTGATACCCTACATTGACAGGCCTGAAAATATAGCAGGTGAGCCATCAGAAAAACCATATATTAGACCATGTCATTTTTTTGTCGTTGCGTGTTATATTAAATGTGTTATTAGTGTTCGAAATAAATTAAGACGCCGGCCAAACACTGTTTAGGGCTGACACACTTATTTCAAATGTAATTCAATTTACTTAAAACTAATTTCATTTTAAACTAAAACCATGACGAACGCTGATATCGCAATCAAAATAGAACAAGTGGGTGAATACATATATCTGGGACAAAATATTAAATTCAACAAGGAAAACCAAACAGCAGAAATCAAGAGACGAGTTAGATTGGGTTGGGCAGCATTCACCAAATTGAGTTACATCCTAAAAAATAAAAAATATACACAATACCTCAAAGCCAAAGTATATGTATAATCAAGGTGTACTTCCTGTCCTCACCTATGGATCCCAAACATGGATACTTGCACAGGAAAACATGGATGAAGTAACAAAAGCACAAAGATCAATGGAAAGACGAATGTTACGGGTAAAATTGATAGATAGAAAGAGAAACGAGCGGATAMGAAATAAAACGAAACTAAGATATGTTAGAATAGAGACAGCAAAATTAAGATGGAAATTCGCCGGACACAATATCASATTAAAAGACGRACGATKKAATACATGTATTCTAAACTGGAGAYCCTGGGAAAATAAAAGAAGTAGAGGAAGACCCTAAATGAKATGKGCGGATGRCCTGAAGAARMACTCTGGAACTAGATGCATAAACATCGCGACAAGCAGGGAAGGGTGGAAAAGACTGGGGGAGTCCTATGTCCAAAGATAGAAAATACAAAAATTGGCGCCMGATATTTTGTCCCGTAAGCACATGATCAAAATAGTACTGCGATATTATTTTGATTAAAAGAAGATGATCTGATCTAATTTTTATTATCAAAAAATGTCTGGATCCTCTCCTATTGGTGATCAAAGTTCTTCAAAAAATGTATCTTTTTGAAAAATTAGGARAATAGTACGATGTATTTTGGTGMAACTCGCTGTGAACTTGTTCTTATGTAAGACTCACATTTTGAWGAAACTATCGAGTTCTGCTGTTTTGGACAAGTRATGAATTCTTGAGTGTYGTGGTACAAAAACYACCAGAACTTTTTAGTTGGTAGAWGAAATMAACTCAGTTTTTTTCRGTTGATGCACTAATCATGTATCCATTGTGCTCTTTKYAAAATTTTGKAGCRTTCATAGTTTTTGCGCAAAAAATATGTSTGTTTTCTTGCCACTTAACAATGTTAGACATTACTTAAGTGCAWATATGSGGCGCGTAAGCGCGTACGCTTTCACGCAAGTTGTCTTCGCAAAACCCTAAAGCCGGCGCTACACGATGCTCCGAACATTCGCTCCAACGTTCTACCGAACAAATCTATCTGCTACACGGTGTGTCGAATGCTTCAAGCAAAATCCCTTTTGAATTGTGGTTCAAACGTTTGTCTACATTCATCAATATGGAGGATACTGCTGACGCTGCGTTTATAGCCGCAGCAGTAGTTCTTAGTTGTGTGAATGGTTTTTTCAACGTTTTGTATTAATAGTTATCAAMAYTTTGTCRAAATTCCATTAAAGTAAGGCATTTTCAACAAGAACGTAGGCAATATCGACGAMGAACTAACAAACCWATATTTCCAAATATTTATCCCACCTACCCCCGATCCCCGATTCGAGTAATTTTTTTASCCTYTTGAATGTGATTTCGCTTGTTGTCGTTTTCGTGATATAGGAGCTATAGGAGCKTTATAAGGTGATGMCTATTGTGCCTCAYTTGCAGAAACAATTTTAAAACATTTGTAATTATTTGTATTTCAATAAATAGCCCTATTTAGGTAYACAACAAATAAAACTKTATACATAAAGTACAAATATTTTAAGGACACTAAAAAATAAGAATAAAATCCAGGCTCAAGGGAAGCCGTGAATGCAAGCAAGCTTTYATTAATGATTTAACATGCGCAACATWTGATCACTACACACAACTCGCAATAGCAGCGTTYAAAGCTACAGCTGCAAGCTGCGTAGCAGTGAAAATATAAAGTCGCGCTTTAATATTTTAGTCCTACTTTCCTTTCTAATTTCCTTTTCACTTTCTKGTTTGAACCACTATCTGTGGTTCGGTCTGTTCTTTCTTGTCTTTTTCTCTCTCTCTCTGAGAAGTTTGACGGTACTAAGCTGGAGTTTAGCGKTTTTACCTATTTTCGTTTGTGAGCAGAATATTTTAACTGATGTGTTCATGGTTTCTTTTATTTTTATGGCTAGTTCRTTTATTTACATTTTATGTTTCCAATTCATTTAGGTTTAGGTTTTCGATTTGTTTTTGGGTCAGTGTCCKTTGTTGAATAGCGTTCTTGTTTGATGAGTTTGTTGCATTCCGCYTTCATGTTTATCTTCATCTTTGCTCGCACTAATCTGTGCCTGCCAAGAAYAAGACCCAACTACTTGGTGCGTGGAAACTCTTTGATGCCATCTGACTCAAGTTTAATGTGGTTAAAAGCAGGACGATTGTCGGCTGTGATGGAAAATGCTATGGAAATTTGTTTTTTTGGCATAGTATTTAGACTTAATTTTAAAAAATGCTACCAGTTCTTAAGTAGATACTACCAGTCCTAGTTCTGCTGCATTTYTTGAATCTTYACAATAACATCCATAAAACACCGCTACCGTGTCATCTGCATATGAAATTAATGAACCATTCCGTATGTAAATATTAGTAAYATTGTTAATATGGGTTATGAAGAGTATAAGACCAATAACTGTACCCTCAGGTATTCTAATTTTCATATAACAAGGGTCATTAAATTGTTTATTTATTTTTAGAACTTGCTCTCTGTCCCTTAGGTMMCTCTCCAAWATTTGCAACAGTGGACCGCTGATACCATACAAGCTAAAAACCTCAAGGCYCTGGCTAGGTCCAAGAACACCACCAAACACTTTCTATTATTTTCCAATGYGCCATTGACTATATGACATATACCAATTATCTCAACAAAAAATTCTACGATATTTTATGAAGAAARCTAATGCAAAAAGTTAATATTAATTAGACCCGCAAATGAGATACAAGATGTCCAAGGTTTTCTCTTGCAGGCAATAKCGGCGTGTTACAGAATGTCAGACAAGAGGTTCAAGAAGGCTGCCACCCTGTAGCAGAGCACAAACAAGTCCAACGTGGTAGTGTCGGCAGACAGTACTTTTCGATACCCCGCATCTTAACGCCTGCATTTATAGCAGGTGAGCCATCATATTAGCCATCTATTCGGCAATGTAATTTTTTCTTAGTTTGCTAAATGAAATGTTTTTATTACCGTACGAAATAAACGACGACGACTGCTAAATATTGTTTAGGGCTCAGTTTGTTTAGGGTATTCAAATGTTTTTTAATGGTTGTTGAAAAATTTGCGTTTTATAATAAGTCTACGGTGTCAGATACAAATGTCATCGACTCTAAGTTCATTTTTTTAAATGGAACGCCCTGTATATTTTAATCGAAAAAAAATACTTTCAAAAATACAACACACAATGAATGACATTGCTTTTCTTAGACAATATAGGGTAATTTTAAAATTGACATTTTTTTTGTTTTGTCCCGTTTCTCTGAATTGAGCAGAAATTTTAATTTTATCATTTTACCCCTAAAAACACATAACACATTTCCGGAGATACCCTAAAAACATTTCACAAAGTAGATTCAATGTGCAAAAAATATCAGAAACATATTTACGTTTCTTTTCAGAAGATATTTGGAGTTGTAAGTTCTCAAAAGAACATTTCATACAGGTCATTTAGGAGAAAGACACTCATTTTCTGATCTGCCATAAAAATTGCTTCGTTTTTTAATGCAGAATGATTCAACAGATAATTCAACGATATTTTACGTATAAACATAATGCAAAAAGTTGAAACAAATTAGACCTCCAAATTAATTACAAGGTGTCTAAATGTTTTTTCTTACAGCTACTATTCCGATTGGCCCAGGTGGGATTCCAAGAACTCAGCCGGTTCACCCAGACGGTCGGTACAGACCGCCAAGTGGAGTACCACAGCCCAACTCCTTCACGCAAACAATGTCAACAGGTGAGCCTTCAGAATATCCATCTATTCGACCTTTCTTTTTCTGTTTATAGTTTGTTAAATGAAATGTTTTTATTACTGTAAGAAACAACAAACTCAACAGTCTACTCAACATTTTAAGTTCACCTAAAAAGAGCACATATACTACTTTTTTGATAGTACACTCTCAACAATTATTTTATTTATTATCTCTTGCGAGAGTTAGTTTCTTTGGTGGTCGGCCACCGGTCGGTGGACGCTTTCAATTTGGCTTTTAGTTGTTGATTCTTCCATTTTTTTCGAGACGGTACCAACCGAACGATATACTGAACTTTCAGTTTTTCCTAGAAGCCGTGCTTTTTATTTAGTCCCGTAGTGCTAGTCCTTTTATTGTACGTACAATTTTCATCCCCGTGCTTTGTTGCGGACCCTTTGTTCTGGAAGTTTCAGCTCGGATTTTCGCTGTGTATGTCAATATTGTCTGCACCGCGGTTTTGTAGATACACACTTTGCCTTTTATTGTTATATGTATGTTCTTCGATATTATTTCTTCAACCACATAACATTCTACTAAACATAAGTTTTTGCAGCTGGATATTTCCACTCCCAATTATGTACACGGTATAGCTAGCTTGATAGGCTTCTCTTTAACTGCTTATTTGCATCTGATAGATTCTGGTGAGGTGACCAAATATTCTGTTTTCTCTTATGACATCATCACATGTAAGTCTTCGGCTATTGTTTGAAATATATATACAGGGTGATTAAAAATTGGCGTCATTCCTCTGAAGGTGTTGTCTGGCGCTCTTATAGGAGTACAGAAAAAATAGTAAAATAAATTAATTGTTATTAAAAACTGAGAAATATGCAAAAAACTATATCAGAAATACGGCAGCAATGTTTTTCAAGGTAATCTGCCTAATTAACATTGCGCAAGTACCTGTTGCTTCGTAATTATTTATAACTCCGGTAACCATGGAATTATACAGAGTCATAATAAGATAGACAAGAATAAACGGCAAATTCAACAAGATTCGTTGACTGCGGAACGTACTTGTACTGAAATGTCAACCTGTTCTCATAACCTCGAATTGGTTGAATGGTTAACTCCAAACAAGCTAGTGCCTGTGTAATCTCCTTATTCTCCACCTTATTAAGCAGCTTCTCGTATTCGGTTAATTAACTCCTGCTTCATTTGTATCTCCTTGTGCTGTGTGTATCGTACAAACGTGGTAGCAATGTAGCCCTTCCTCGGTATTTATTTGGCGCTTGGAAAAGTGTCAGTTATTGTGCTCTGAATACCCCTGGAAGACCCTGATTCGATTATGTCCAATACTTGTTCATGTGTACCTGGAACCCGAAAATGGATTGCCGTCCACTCTCTTCCTGGAACCACTCTCTTCGCCCTTTGTTGGCATGAGTTCCTTCAGCTTCTGCTATGTTACTGTAGCATTTCCCCTGAACTAATCGCATATCAGCAAATTCGTGAAAGGAAATTCAAAGTAAGTCACAGTTTGACAAATTATTGTTATTATTGATAAGGGCTATCCACCTGTACCTATCTGTTAATGACAAAAAACATTATTGCCGCTGTGACTTTTCATCAAAAAATTGTAGAAGAGAACTTTTTTGAAATCAAAAATTTTCGGAAATTTGAAGCAAATATAGTTTTTCTTTCTGAATGCTTAAGTAATCCAATAGGCTACCAATTAAGCAAGGAACAATTTCAAAATATTGCTTAATAACAAAGTTGAAATTCGATCTTCAACTGTTAATATCGTCTAGAAATTTTGGAAAAAAAAATTTCTATATTTTTCTCGTACTCCCCAAGTGAGCCTTTATCACCCCTTAAAAAGAATGACGCCAATTTTGAATCACCCTTATATATAGCAGTCGTTGCATAGTATTTTCAATGTTCCAGTCTGTATATTCATATGTCTCGGTTTGGCTATCGCCTTATCCGTTATCGAACGGAAACGATCACATTGCTGATTCGAGTTGTAGAGCAATTACGCACTCGCCACTTCTTGGTATTATGAGCAACTTTTCCATTCGTATGTAAAGTGCTCCATACAACTGTTATTATGTAATATACTGTTATAGGGTATCATGTGCTCTTTTTGGGTCGAATTTAATATGATACAATGGAATTGGAAAACGGCTTTGGCTCTCTTAAGAGATTCGGGAGAAAATCAACAAGTTGCCACTTTCAAAATAACTCTATATTTTGATAATTAACAAGGATAGTGAAAACGTTAAAAAAATGCTACAAAGATTGCTCTCTTTCTCTCTTATAATGACTGTTGACTAGTCTGCTTACTAGTAATTTTGACCTTGATATTTTTTGACTTTCCCCGTTTCTCTTAAGCGAGCAGGAAACTTTATGTTAGCATTTTAAGTGTGTCTAAAAGAGCACATGACACAATTACGGAGATACCTTGAAATTTTCGAAAATAGAATGCACTGTTCAAAAAAATTGAAGAAACAGGCTGTCGCATCACTTCAGAAGATATTTACAGTTGTTCCCATAAAGTTCCCATAAAGACACTTCATACAGCTCATTTAGGAGAATGAAATCCATTTTTCCTCACGCCGTATAAAATTGCTTCTTTGTAAATATACAGCATGATTGAACAGCTAATTCCACAACATTTTACGACAAAAATATTGCTAAACTTTCATAGAAATTAGACCCGCAAGCGAGATACGAAGTATTCAAGGTTTTTTCTTGCAGATAGTAGCGCTAATATCAGGCATTTTCAAGCTGAGGCTGTAAGGCAGCAGCCTGTTCATCAGCACATCCAGGTCCAAGGGACTCAGTTCAGACCGCAGTGCAATCGCACCTTAGAATGGCGGCCTATAGATTCAACAGGTGAAAGCTTAGAATAGCCATCTATTGACCATTTCTTTTTTTTATTCGTTTGCTAATCGAAATGTTTTTATTACTGTAGGAAATAAACGAAAACGCCACCCATATACTGTTGAGGGCTCAACAGTCTACCATTTTAAGTTTGACCTAAAAAGAGCACCGACACCTATACTACTTTTCTGATAGCAATAGCAAATACCGAGATACCCTAAAAATGTGTCGAAAATAAGACACCCTGTAGAAGGTTTGCCAGTTTCAACACTTTGATAGCGTTTCATGTGCTCTTGTTAATCAAACTTAACATGGTGTAATGGAGATGTACTACGAATGTAGGCCTCTTAAGAGGTTCGGGAGAAAATCAAAAAATTGTCTCTCACAAAATGACGCTATATTTTGATTATTAAAAAGATACAGAAAAATGTTATGTTCAAATATTTTTTATAATGATTGATAGGAAGACTAGTAATTTTGAAATTGTTATAATTTTTACTATTCCCCATTTATATTAAGCGAGCAGACATTTTGATTTTACAGTTTTAAATGTCCCACTAAAAGAGCAGATACATCAGAATATACCGAACACGAAGATACCTTGAAAATTTCGTAAATAGGATACACTGTCCATAAAAATAAAGAAATAGCTTTCCGTTTCACTTAAAAATATATTTACAGTTGTATCTAAATCACACCAATTTTTTCTCCCGCCAAATAAAATTGCTTTTGTTTAGTAAGAATACAGATTGATTCAACGAAATTCCACAACCAAAAATAATGCAAATTTATTAATTAGACCCGCAAACGAGATAAAACATATTCAAGGTTCTTTCTTACAGGCGGGAACCCTGAGTCAGGGCATGTACAAGCTCAAGTTCCAAGGCGTCTTGCCGCTATAGATGAGCGCCGACATGTCGAAGAGCCCCCTGCGCCTAGCGTTTCATTAGGTGAGCTCTCAGAATATCCATCTATTCGACCATTTCTTCTTGCAAGTTTCGTTTATTAGGTTAAATATATTATTATTGTAGGAGGTAAACGTAGACTCCAGCCACAGCCTTCAACATCCCAACAAGCAGCATCAACTTCTGGTCAGCGCGAGCCTGTGCAAGATAAATTGCGTTGTAATTTCTGTCCACTGCCTGCAACACGTCAGCGAGTCAGCTATCCAATTTTGCCGCATAGACTTCGCAATTTTGATGCGATCACTGTGGATAACTTAGTCACAAACTTCTGCAAACGAGTACTAGCAACCTGCCCTGCTGCTCGTCGGTATGTAAGAAGCATACAGTCAATGTCACCAAATAGTCCCCCAAGTCGCGGGCTACTGAAAATGCGACATGGGCCATTCTGTCCTATAGAACTAATACATAACTGGCCTGATCCCCCGATTAGCCAATCAGTCGAAAATCTGATCCCTCTGCCCGAAAATCTAAAAAGCTGGGATCCTGTCAGTATAAAAAAAGCCAAGAAAGCCTATTGCAGAGAAGTTTTAAAACATAACCCCGATGCTCTGGAAGAGTTAACGGGCCTACGGTCGATATCACCAGATCCTCCAAAAACTTCAGAATCGGCTGCAATAACAGATTCCGTGCACCACCAGGACGCCTCCTGTCCATTAATTCTTTTTGATAAGTGCCTCCCATCTCGTTCTGACAGTCCGCCTATTATGGAAATAGACTCACCTGATAGTTTGAAGCCTTTTAAGCGTGCCACTCCAATAAGAAGAAAGAAAGGTGACAGTCTAAAAACACAAACAGGTTGTCCTGGTCTTCCGAAACCTCTGTCGAGTTTGCAGTCAACATCACAAGGTATTGCAGGTCCTTCACAACCTACTGACCCTGTGAGTGAGCCACAACATTCTATGGGCCAGCAGCCCCACCTAGAAATTCAATCCCAACAAGATTGCCATCTCTGCTGCACTGCTTCAACGAGTCGGGGTTCAAATCATCCAAGATCGGCGTATAATGACAGATGTTATGATCGTGCTGTAGGGAGAAACATCATGTGGGGATTATCCAGGGAATTACTTCTAAATGCGTCTTCGGATCCTGAGCGTTTAACAAGGGCAAGCTCTGTTTCGCCAGATAGATTGTCACCTTCAGAATCTACTGGGTATCGCAGTGTGGTAGGGCCCCAAACTATACAACATCACCCCCTCTGTATAGTTCCAACGCTTGATTGTTGTCCTTACTGCCACAAGTCTCAACAGCACGCTTCATCAGAGCCATTGGAACCTCAAAATATTTCTGAAATTCCGTCATCTTCGCGATCTTCTGATTCTGATAGTATGGCGTATGTAAGAATCACATGTGATCACCAATACGGATGTCCCGTAGGAATTCTAGAATATTGTCCAGAATGCAGAGTTGATCCTACACCTTCCGATCCGCATTCTATATCTTCCGATCAGCATCCTACACCTTCTGATCAGCATGTTGAGGCCGTGGAGGTAGAAGAACAACTCCACGAAAGCGGAACATCACAAAGCCGTCCATCTACGAGCTTTACTGAACCCACCCCGCAAGAGGACGAGGCGCTATCCTCACTAAGAATGATACATCAATATCTGGATGATGATGATGATGATGATGATGATGATAAGGATGATGAGGATGATGAGGATGAAGATATTTCTACTTGGTTATGATGGCATTCGAACGGGGACTCACTTGTAAAACTTCCAAACGGCGCTCCGAAGGCAAATTTCTGAGTAGTCGCCACTCCAAAGAGTAAAGCAGTTGCAGTTGTAACAAGTAATCGAATTATAAATAACATGTTTAGTTAAACCTTTACAGAAATGGAGTATCCATTAAAGGTCTAAGTGTAAATTATTTATATGGTAAGGGTCGTGAACACCGTACAACATGCAGGATGTTGCTAACACGAACATCAGACTACTATGGCGTAATGCTTATTTTTACCCATTTATGTTTTATTGAAACTGTCTACTTTATCGTCCCATACAAATGGGTAAGCAAAGCGGCATGAGATGTATACATTTTTTATTTGTTTCATAAACAACGTAAACTATACTATGTTGTCAGTTTTATAATTTTGTATCTGCACTCCACGGGCTTAGTTCTGCCTAGTAATTATTTGTTTCGTCTTAGTCTAATATACCTATTACTATCAAACAATAGTGTTCTTCTTTCTACATGTGCCAACTCCAACTAAACCCATCCACTACTACTACTACTACTACTCATGCATATGTATAGTAGCCGTGGTCGTTGTAAAGTATATCAACACAAATTAAGTCACGGAATTACAACTATAAAATATTTACATTATCCAGGCATTACATACAAGGTGTCTCGAAAGCACATGGTCAAAAGGTCCTGCGTCATTTTTTGGCTCAAGAGAAAGCGATCTTCCCTAACTTTTATTGAGAAAATATGTCTGACCCCTTTGCCATTGTTGGTAAAAGATCTTCACCAGAACTACATTTTTGCATATATTTTACATCGGGAGATTTATTATTTATCAAGTGTTTTATAATTATGAACTGATCGACTCAAACTAACCCAAACTTTAAGTCGGTTGTATTTTGGAAGTGTTTTCGTCCGAATTGCGTTCCTCAAAATTTTATTTTTAACGACAAATAACAGGTTAATATCATAGCCCTTGATTTAGTTTTTATACCAAGACACTCAAGTATATTTAGCGGAGAAACTCGGTTGCTTTATCAAAATATGAGTTTTATATTAGAATAAATTCGCAGCGAGTTTTAATGAAATTCATTTTTTGCAATTTTGCAATTGGATTTGAAGCTCCTCCGTACAACGTCCAACTCACTCAAGAACTTAAGCCTCCTATATCCCAAATTGGGTGATTGAACAACAAGCCGTTGATGATGATTTTTCGAATCAAACTTTCTTCAGCGATGAGGCTCATTTTCCGCTTGGTGGTTACGTGAATGGACAGAACAGCCGTATATGGGGCTCTCAAAATCATCAGGTGATTGCAGAAAGGCCTTTGCGTCCTGAAAAGGTGACCGTATGGTGTGCATTAAGGCCGGGTCACATCCATAGATAAAGACAAGTCACATCTATCTGATCCGACTCCGATCATACAATCGGACGAAGATCTGAGAGCAAAATGGTACTGGACTTTCAACGCCGTAGTTCACATCTTTCCGCTACCTGCCGGATCCGTCTCCGTTTTTGTAACCGATCATGTTCCGATTTTGCTGGCTATTCGATGGGTATTTGCTATCCGATTGTCGGAAAGAAAAACGGTCCGCACTTTAGGTTGCGTCAGTGATACATTTGATTTTTAATGGGCAATATCTACAGTAAGCTGTAGATATTTAAATATTTTGATTGGGCTTACAGAATTTTACTACGATTAGATCATTCGTGGCAAGTATTAATTTATATTACTGTTTACACAGCAAGCACGTATGTAAGGACTCTGGCAAGGAATATTGGAAAAATAACTACTAAAGTGTACATGGTAAACTGTTCATGGAAATTTATTTACTACTTCAGGTTTTACTATTTTAATTAAACCCCGCATTTTGTAGACATTTTTATTCTCTACAAATCATCTCGTTGGGCATTCCGATTACTCCATTATTATATAATATTATAAAAA